GCCATCAACGCTCCTTTCATACCAAACCCAAAACACAGCACACCCCCCAAGCTACTGGGAAGAAAGTTAATTCTGTCCCAGCCAGAACCAGGACACTTGGTTTTGTAGTACTGCTGAAAGTAACTGTATAGGCAGGTATGCGTGACTTACCTTCAGTTCCTCCTGTAAGGTGGCATACATGTCATTTATCTTATGAACCTCTTGTAAGGATCCATCTTCGTAAAAGAATTCTGACCTGTGGACCAAGAATATAATTGTATAATTGCAAGTTAATGATGCCAGTGCTTATTTAGTAGGAGCTATAATGAATAAAGAAGTATTTTGAGCTTCAACACTAGGTGCCCATGTTGAGACAGACAGCTGCTCTCATGGCAAAGTATGGGACTTAACTAATTCCAAGTACCTTGGAAAGGTAAATAATTGCAGAAAACAGGTCAACAAGTGAGCAGCGTATGGCTGTAGCATTTGCAAAAGCACTTAAAATAATACTTTCATAGAAACATAACTATACTTACCTTAGCTGAAAGCTACAGCTATCAGTAAACATGGTATATATTGTACCTGTGTTGTCTTACTGCTCTCACAAAACCAGAAGATACGCAGGAACCAGACACTGTTCTGTAACCTTGCTGTTCTGCCATACCCAAGTTAGTAACCACCAAAGGAACTTTCTGGAAGAGACTTAAAAAGCAGAACTATGAGAACATGATTTATTAACATCCAAAGGCCTCTCTTTGATAGTTAAAGGTTCTTGATCATTAAGCATCCCAGATGGAGGTTTACAGTATAGTTAGTTCTTGCTAAATGTATCACATCACACATAGATGACTACTTATGGCTAAAGACAAACTTCAAGTGCAACAAGACTCTGAGCAATGCCTCTATTTTTTTTTCCCGTTTCTGGGTATGAGTCACACAACAATGCAATATTTGCTTGTTAAGTTTAGCCTATGGGCAGCATGTCGCTGAAGAGAACTGAAAATTACCACTAACTTAAATATTTCAATGATACGTGAAGATGAACACCATGCATAGTTGAAGTCCTATACACAAAAACAAATTTATCAAGAAGAGCTTGTGTGCATAAATGAACTGACAGTGTCTGCTCCTCTTGACACTGGCGCTACAGATAGTTATAAAGGCAAATCCCTAACAGAACTCCAGGGTGAGATTTCAACTGGGCTCTAGCAATGTAAGGACTAATTTTATTTAATATGTAAGTTTCAAGGGTAAAATAAACAGTGTTAACAATAATTCAGTTGCAACAAAGAAAAAACCAAACTGTTCCAAGTTGTAGCACATGCTGTGCTACTGCTTTATTAAAACTAGAGAACAAACCAATTACCCTTCTTGTGGCCGATGTAAGGCATGTTCCAGTCTGTAAGTAGAACAACTTTCTGTCATCACGCTAGAGGTTAATAAAAGGAATACAAGGCCCTGATTTGATAGGTGTGACTGTAAATTCTTATGAAGAAGTCTTTCCCGGAATGTCATGGTCTGGTCTGTGTTACGTCTGAATTTGTACCATCCTATTACACTCTGCAGGCAGAAGAAAATTTATTATTACTGTTGAATCGTGCTGTCCCTGTGTCTCATATTGAAGCAAGTTAGAGGATTTAGTACAAAGTAATGAATCTGAATTGTTCAGTGATGTGTACATATTCAAGCAATTAGTTAACTTGAAACCCTTAAAACATCTAGGCCTAATTCCAGTATGACAACTTCTCTCTTTACTTCAAAACCATGTGTTGAACTGGCCTGTTTTCTGAGCTTGTCCTCAAGCTGAAACTCTACAAACTTGGTTCTGCTATTTTGCTGTTTGTCTCTTTCCAGCTTCTACTCTCCCCTTGTGAAACTTTCTTCTGTGGAGAAGACTGTAAATTTTTTTGATCAAGTGGTGTTTAACCACTTGAGTGAGCTGACCTCAACCGATCTTAAGCTAGAAATCAGTGGAATTCCTTTGGAATATTTGAACTGTTCACTTGTGAAATGAGTAAGAAGAAATAAAGTTTTGACATGTATGTAGGCAAACCCTAGACAAAAATAACCTAAACTGTTCTTTCAGGGGGAAAAGATGATGCAGCTGCCTTGACCAGCAGGCTGAGGGACTAGATACAAGATTTAAAAAAAGAGGAGAGAAAAAAAAGCTTGATACAAGAGGTATCCAGAACAGCCCCCAAAATCTGAGCAAGCTCCTTAGTATAGTTTAGGTTTGAAGATAAAATACCTTCTTACAGCCTGATAGTATTTTCTTCAGGGCAAGTTCATTCAGTTCTCCTGTGGAATTATAAAAGCTAGAAGAAAATTAGGACAATTAGAGGAGGGAAAAAAAAAAGCTACTGTAGAAATAATTATTCCCTAGCAGTCTGGCAGTCATCTCACTTTAATAGCTTTTTTTTCCCCCCCTGGTAAGCATAAAGATACGCTGACACAGCGTCTCTGCTAGGACAGTGCAGTTAATTTCATTACTCAAATAGCTATGTAGATCATCTTGTACAGCCCAGGTGCTGTCCTGGCATCAGTGCTACTCGGACACAAGTTAAAGGTAGCATCTATGTTCTCTCAACTACAAAATAGTAAGATGCCTTCAATTTGGTATGAAATGCCTTTCTAATAACATCTGGGTTTATTAATTTTCAGAAAGATTTGAGAAGGAAATTGTGTTGTGATTCTCCCTTTGTAGGAGTGCAAACCTGCACAGCTGTGTTCCCATCTATGATGGAACTCTAAATACTAGTCCTTGAAACTACTCCTGCCATCGGGCTAACAAGTGCTTCTTTTTCTGACCCACTTAGAAGCCTATGGTAATGCTATCTTTTTCCTTCTTTTTTTTTTTGAGGGTGAGGGGTTGGGATGTATGCTTTTAGAAAAGCAATGTTTTTTTTCAGTATGTTGACATTATTCTGAAGTTTATATGGTATCATACCTCACCAGAAGGTGCAGTATGCCATCTCTCTATTTCTATATGCATAGACAAACAACAAAAAAGGACATGAAGAACCAAAACAGGAATAACATAAGGCATTTTGCATCTGTAATTCCAAGGAGTTGATATGGCTACTGTAGTTACAGCCGGGTGATTTTCTCAGTAATGTAATATAAGTTTAACTCTTGAAGAGCTCAAGTTAGGGTTAACTTTAACTTTCTCATATCTGTTAGGATTCTTACCTGAACAACTGGTAGCATGGAATATGCTTCTGTATATCTGGAAAGAGAAGGTAATATTACATCAGTTCAAGATGTATATTCTTCTGTATGCTATGATCAGAATTAAACTGGTACAAGAACCAAGAAAGAATTCTATGTAATATAATTTCTTAAAATCAAATGCATTAACATATAATTAAATAAGGTTAAGAAAGGAAATATTTTTTAAAAAGATTCTAATTCATTTTTCAAATGTAAAGGGAACCACTTATATAAACTGTATTTTTTATACATTCTTCTGTTTCATCAAGTGAAAGATAAAATTGGGCACTTTATTTTTCCTTCCCTTCTGTTGGGTACAGGAGTAGTATGTAATACAGAAGATTTCACTGGAGTTACTCTGCAGCAAGGCATGGATGCTGTTAGTAAGAAAGATGAGGCTAGAGAACAGAAACCCATAGGATAGATAATCAGAACTGGAAGACTGACTACCATAAAAAAAAACAGGTGATCTAATAGCATACTGAATCCTTTTCTTTTCCTAAATTCTCCACTACTTTCATTTTTACAAGTTAACTAAAAAAAACCACCCCAAACTTTGGAGCAACTAATCTGCCTATGAGAATGTGATGATGAGACTCTGGGTAACTTGATCAATGCCACCACAAAAAATTCCCCACATTTTTGGTTCAGCTGTGAGACTCAGTGGAAGAAAGTGTTACACCTGAATTGTATCCTACAGTGAAACTAGAAAATGGGATGCAGTTTCTCCCTACCATATTTTCAGGAAGATTGGAAAGAAGGCACATACTGTATTACTTTGTTCTCTTTCTTTTTGTGTAGCTGCATTTTAAAGGAATGGAGTTAAATGTGTGTGCATGTGCATGTATACGTATGTTTTTGTTAAGGGCTAGTATAAAATGCACATCCACTCCAATCCCATGAAGACTATAAAGAAAAATACATCTGGCATCTGTTGAATGAAATAAATAGTTCGCAGTCTTCACACAGTATTTTATAAGCTCTAAATTAGGTAATAGATGCTAACACATTATAGCTTACATCACTGAAATAGGCCAAGTTTTTCCAGGGCAACTGTAGTCCAGGAGAGTTTGTGATGTGACCAAGAAAAAGAAGGAGTCTAAGCCCTAAATTACTTTTAATGTGACAAGATGTTTGGCAAAGATGAGCTATTCAAGGAACTAAGAACTAGTACTTCTGTTAAATTACTGTATTTTCTACAGTAAAATTGTTTTTTTTTTTTTGGTAATTAAAATGTTACAAAATAACCCTTCCATGTGTTTTTTTTTATGTCAACCTGGACCCCAGGATCTAGCAGCTTTGATCTTGCTGTAAGGTATTGACTGCCCTCATTCAAAACTGTAAGCAGTCCTATATTGCCTAAAACCAAGAAAGGCATTAAAAATGTGGACAGACTAACCGATTGTATAAACAACCTCAACATCATCCATTTGTGAGTCAGTAATGCTGTTCTTGGCTTCACCTTTCACATCTCCAAGGAGAAAACCTTCCTTTATAGGGGGAGAGAAAAAAAAAGTTCACGTGAACAGTAGCATTGAACAGGACTTTTTCTCTGTCTAATATGAACAGTGTAAATGCTGTCTTCAGGGGAGGAAAAAAGCTGTCAAAATGAATTTTTGTTTTTTTAAACAGAGTAGGTTCTTACTCATTTTTCAATACCTACCTGTATTTAAGAAGAAAAAAAAAAAAGTTGGGATGTGTACTCAGCTCTTTTCCATTCCTCATGTTTTCATTCACAAGTGAACAGTTTGTGGCTGCAGAGGTGATGCCCACCTCCAAGGCTTAGGCCCGAAGGCCTGACCAGCATTTTGGTCAGTCCTTGGCAGACACGGTGCTGCTTTCCTGCCACACCAGGCGTTCGGTGGCCCACACCTCGTTTTAAAACAAAAAAACCCCCCACAATTTCCCGGCATTAGCACGGAAAGCAACCTCCATCGCAGCAGGGTGCAGCGGGGAGGGAATACACTGCAAAACCGTGTTCCAGCACAGCACGCAGTGAGGCCCTGGATGTCCCTGGGGTTCTCCCCGGCAG